CCTGAGGAGAGGGTCCCAGGTCTGAGACTCAGCACTCAACTGTCATTGAACTCATGTGTAATGCCAAGGGGAAGGGCGATTTTCTGTCAGAATAGAACTGTATGTTGTTAAATGTTTTCTATTCCAAACCTCCCTCACCCCTGTTGAGCTCTGTGCTGGACCAACCCCTAGAGAGTAACCAGCCTTGACCCTGAACCTCCCGTCTCAGGTAGACAACTCAGACACTCAGGAATAATCCAGAACAGAGAGGCTGGGAGGAAGAGACATAAGAGTCCCAGTGACATAGTCCTGAGGAAGGTGACAAGTCCACGGACATGTAGCCTAAGGCCCTATGTGATGTCACAGATCCACACCTTAAACTTTGACCAAATTTATGCCTCTCATCAGACACAAAGCTGTATGATAACTGAAGTGAGGGTCCTGTCGATGGCTTTAGGATGGAGTCTGTAGCTGGGCATTATGGACATTGGAGCTGTGCCTCTCTGGACACAGTGTCCCCCTCTCCCTGACAGGGGGGTAAGAGTCAAGATGGATTCAAGATGTTGCCCAGTGAGTCCAGTCTAGCTGGAGGCCAATTCTGACTTCGTCCGCTATGGCCCTTGGTCAGTAATCATCCCCTGCCTTCCTGGGCGTCTGTCATCACCAACGTGGTCACCTCTGGTTGGCCATCACTGAGACTGATGGTTGGGTAGAGCCAGGATGCTGGGCCTGATGGAGAGGGCCAAGGAGGGGAGTGTGGTGGCTTGGGCATGGTGATTAGGATGATGGGTAGGGGAGTGGAAACAGGCTGGAGCCTGATGTCTTCGAGCATACAATCCTCTCTGTTGCTTCTTCTTTTGGAAAACCCATCCTAGGATAGACTATTTGCTCTCAGGACAGAGGTAATCAGAGACCCCCTTGCTCTGCCCCCAACCACAACCACTTAGAGGCTCCAGGAGAGTCCTGTCTAGTTCAGTCAGATTCCTGTGAGATCTGATACTTGCTTTCTGGCAGAGAGAGCATCTCTTTGTTCTGGGTCAGGAACCAACCAAGTCAGACATGAGACATTTACTGTCATTTTATCAATGGGAGAATGGAGACAATGTGGTGGTCAGAGTCCAGAGGGACAGTATCTCAATCCATGCTCTTGGACTTCCTGGATGTAGCCAGTATGAAGTCTGACTTATCACTTGGACAATTTAATCGAATGAACCAGTGAGTATTCTTTCTTGCCTCTTGCAACTGAGTAAAGAGGAGGGTGGTGGTTGGGCCTCAGAGCCTGTCAGAGGGTCAGGCTCTCCATTTGTACAAGAAAACAACCCTGCAGCCCCTCCCCAGGCCCCAAGGACTCATGCTCATGAAGGTGACAGTTTTGTGGCTGAGACTATAACAGGGCTCCCACCTTGGCGTTTCTTGGAGATGTGCTGAGCAGACACAGCTGTGCTATGGCCCAGTGGTCAAAGGTATTCTTAGCCTCCAAGCTCAGACCCATTAGGCTTTGACTAGATAAGGACTCCTGGGCTCCAGAGAGTTAGCTTGGGCTTGGGAGGTACCCTGTAGCTAAGCAGAATAGAACCTAGGACAATAGATCTTCTCCCTCTGATGATAAAGCTGTGGTCTTCTACTCATACCCAGTCCTTGAACCATGCTAGTGTCAGAGGATGCAGATGGGAACAGCTGAGCATGAGTGTGAGCTGCGCCTGGGTGTGCAGTTGGGAGCGCTGCATGCAAAGGGTCCTAGTGTGGACAGCAAGGCTGTCTGAGTGAATGTGTTTGAAGGAGGAGGGAGTTATGCAACGATGCTGCGTGGATCCCTGTAGTTCGTGTGTGAACACAGGCTTTACCCAGCGATGGTGGATGTTGCACATGGTGGCCATGGACTGTGCTAGCCTCACTAGTGACTTGTTCTTTCCCCCTTTGCTTCGGTGAGGCCCAGTGCTCAGCTGTGGCAGAGGCCTTTGGTTGCTATCCAAAGCCTGAGACATTTCTATGTCCATTCGTAAGGATTCAGCTACGGTATAGCTTTGTTCGCCAACAGCTGTGGCTTCCCCGTATGAAGTCCTCCTCTGATCAGAAGAGCCTGCATGGCAGGAATCAACACTCCATGAAGGGCAGCCTCCAAAAACCACTGCTGAGAGCCAGGTATGAGTGACACAGATCTGTCACCTCCAGAAGCCTGACTTTGAGGCCTAAAAGGCATAGTGTGCCCTCTCTCTTGGGTTGACAGTGGGATAGCTTGGTGGCCTGTATCCTTCCAAGCTTTCGCACCCCACCCCGAACCTCCATCTTCTATTTCCCTGAGGCTATTTCCCACACCAGGCTGTGTTCCAGGGGCTGGTCCTGTTTCCTTCTGGTATACCATCTGAGTAATGGGCCAGCCCATGCTATCTCCTAGGGATTCCAGGCACCTAGCTGTTCTCCTTAGGCCTTATCCCTGGCAAAGAGAGGACTCAGACTCCTTGTAGGAATGTGCAGAGCCTTGAGCAGGCTGCCCACAGCCCAAGGAGTATGTGGATAGAAGAGACAGGGAGAAGCTGATAGTCCTAGGAGTTTAAGTCTTTAGAATGAGTATCAATGTAGGTGGGTCTGGGTGGGGGTCAGTGTGTAGCTGGACACCATCACTGTAAAGGAGGAGGAGCCTCACAGTGGAACACAGTAGCAAATAGAACAGAGGGGCAAATGTTTTGCATAGAGAGGAGAATGCAGCCACCAGGAATTGCCAGAAAATGAGACCCAGGGACAGAGTCTTCTCTAGAAAATTAGTGATGTAAGACAAACTCAGGATCCAAATGTCAGGTTCAGCATACATCTCTGAGTGTCCAAACATCAGGTTCAGCATGTAGCTGTGAGTGTTCCACAGCAGCAGCAGGCTTTAAAATAAAAGGGCTTTCCTCATTCTTCTAGGGTAGAGTCTGAGACAGATGAGCAGTGGCAGCAGAGAGCCAGCAGGTGGCAGTGTGTGCTTGAGTTTGGCCAGTGCCAGACAACAGGCCTACATTTTTGCCAGCAGGAAAATGGGATTTCCAGAAGGAACCTGTGGGTCCCTGTCTCATCCCCTCCCCCCACTTCCCATCTGCCTCACCTTGTTCAGGCTAACATCCTAATTTTACGGTGTGATTTTGGGGTTCCCTACGTTAGCGGAAGGAAAATGTGTCTGAGAAAGACAGTCCCTGTGCGTAAAAGAGGTCACCAGGCAAAGCCTCCGTCTGAAGGGCAATAGGAAAGACACAAGTTTCTGCGGAAGGGGGCAAAGAGCATCTCTCTGTCTATTTTCCTCGGAAGGATAAGCTTTTGGAGTGCTGAAGGCCAGAAGGTGGTACCTCATGTACGTGGAGCCAAGCTCTGGAATTGATGGCTCATCAGATTCTCACATCAGACAGGTCTCAGAGAAGTGGCACCATGCTTCACAAGAAGGGGGCTGGGAGACGGCTTAGTAGGTAAAGTGCTTGCCATCTGCAAGCAGGAGGATCTGAGTTCAGATCCCCAGTACCTCATTAAAGTCCAGGTGTAGTAGTAGCATGGACTGGGAGGTGGACACAGGAGATTTGGGGGACTTGGGTGGCCAGCCAGTCTAATAGGGATCTCCAGGAACTAGGGAAGCAGAGACAGGAGGATTGCCAACTGGGCTATGTAGCAACATCTTGTTTCAAAAACCCAAATAGAAGCAGAGAAACAAAAGAGGAAAGTCTAGGAGATATTGCTCTCTACAAGAGCGCCACCTGGCGCAAACTTGAGAAACAGCCAGCTGGGCTGTTCAGAAGCAGGCGTAAGACTGCTCCTTTAGAGGGTTCCTTTCCCTCTGAATTTGCAGTCGCCAGGAACCTCCAAGGTCCCCATGCACTCCTCGAAAGCATTACTTCTTTCTACATCTTTGTTGATAATGAGCATTTATTTTGAGTACAGAAAAGATACATTGCTGCCTATTCAGCCTAATCTAGGAAAGAGAAAAGCTGTTCTGCAGATCCCTTCAACATGTTGAGTAGGCAGGGATGTCTTCCCCCACCACTTTCCAGAGCTCTAGAAACAGGCTGCCGGTCTTAAAAGAGTCTCATCCTTGGAGTATGTCTTAAAGGCTGTACAGTGCAACAGACAGACATCTTTGCCTAGAAAGCAGAACACCACAACGGTGGGCAGAAGTGCTTGTAAACAAGGTTCCCTCCCCCAGGCCTGTGACTCTAGGGTGCTGCCTGTGGGATGCTACAGAGCCTGTGGGTTGGGCCCTTTCATCTCTGCATCAGAATAAATGCTATTTCTATAGAAAATAAAAATCAAGATAGCCATTCTTGCCACCCCTCTGCTTAGGAAAGGGATTGCTGAATTTTCTTAGCCCTTCATTGGAGGAATTGAATGTGGGAAGGGGGTCAGTGGGGATAGGTCTGCTGCTTTGGGATGACTGACAGAAGATAGGAGTCTGGGAGGCAGGAGGTCTCACTCCCCGCCAGCGACAGAGCTGACGGGATACTCCTCAAAGGTGCTTAGCTTTGGCAAGCTGGGTCTTCAAAGACCTTGTCACTGTATATAGTCCTTTGCTGGAGATGGCTGGAACTCGCAGGCTAACATCTGAGCCTTTCTCCAACCGGCTGTCTCCACACACCTGCTTCTGTGATGGGATGTTGGCAGCAGACACTGGTCTTCTCATAGTGACATGAAGTTTTTTTGTGGGACACATTTGTGGGGTTTTTTTTTTTTTTTTTTTGGTCTCTGCATATGTCCCAGAGAGGCAAGGCCAGAATTCATCAACTCAGTTCCCAGCTGTGAGTTGCCACCCTGGATGACAACACTGGCTCTTGGGTTGGCTTGAGATCTCTTAGACTCAGGCTGCCAGGGCTGGCTGGGCACTTACTGAGCAGTGGGCCCTACTGTGCCTCCTCTGAGTGGTGTCTAGGCAGCATGGGGGGGGGCAGCTACCCACACCTTGTTTTTCTTGAGCTCAATCCTGGCATGGACATAAGAAGAACTGTGATGTTCTTCTATGACACATGCCCAAGGGCCTGTCTCCCCCTGAAACTTAGGGTGGGTGTCTGAGCTAACCCCACTAGCACCGCCAAACTGAGGACATTGAGACAGGCTAAATGGGCTGTGAGGACCTCCAGGTCATGCCTAAACCACCAGACCTGTTTTTCTCCACCTTGTAAGTGGCAGGGTGATGACATGGTGGCTCTTCTTCCCTGGAGTTGAGAGATAGGCACAGTGCACAGTGGGACCTCACTGGGACCTGTCTCAGCTCCCAGTAGGATAAACCCTGGGGTAGGAGTTATGGCAGGAAGCTAACCAAGCAGTCTCTGCAGGAGAATCAGATTGTGGCCACAGCCTAGAGAAGGCTGGGGAGAGGGTAGAAAGTAGGGATTCCTAGCCCGCCTCTGCCCAGTGCTGTTCAGAGAGGCACTACCACCAGGCACCAGGCTGGGGAGGAAGAGATACCAGGTAGGGAACACTTCATCTAAAGAAAACCTTCCCAGGTGAGTTTGTGTGGTAGTGGGACCTGTGTATGTACAGGTGTCTACATATGTGTGGGATATGTCAGCGTATGCACTTGAAGTCTGTCAGTATATATTTGTAGTCATATATATGCATGTGCATGAGTTGTGTGGGTACTTGTGTACCTGGAAGAGATAGGGTAGCCTGGAAGGACCAGTGGGACTTGGTCACTCACACAATCCTTTCAGGGCTGGGGATCAGAGCCTGGGTTGGGGTGGGTGAGCCCTGGGAGTTACTTGGCCATGGTTCTGGTCCTGGCAGAGGCAGCAGGTCAGATGGAGAGCCTGCTCCACACACGGCTTCATAAGGTGGCAGCGTGTCCATGGAGACAGTGTGGAGGCCACTCTGACCCCGGGTCCTCTGCTCTTGCTGACGGTGGCTGTGGCCGCTGTCTGAGTCAAGGGCACCACTCAGCATGGGGCAGGAGTCAGTCATCGAGTAGGGTGGTGGTGCATCCGTGGGAACATACAGCTGAGTGGCCCCTGGTCCCACGCATTCCTCATAGCTGTGAGAGAAGAGTTTTCACTCAGGGATTATAGGTTCCAAGGTCTTCGGGATGGAAGAGTCTATATTCTGTGTGGTGAGGAGCTGCCCTCATTGTAGAATATGGCCAGCCTCAAATATGCTAGATCCATGAAACCCTCTAGTCCCCAGGGAAGACTGTCTGACATCCTTAGCTGGTCAGACTTTACCCTCACATCCCATGTTAACTCAAGCAAGTCCTTACACCCCTGCCCTTCTCTCTGGGCTTTTAGATTCCCTGGAGCAAGAGTAGCTACTGTCTAGGGAGAAGTCTCAACCTGGACACTGAATGAGCCTGGTAGGACCTGTAGCAGTATATTTTCAGCTACATTAAACTCAGTATTTTGGGAGGTGCTAATGTGGGAGGAGTAAAGAGAGGAAGAGGAGGAGCTAAGAGGCAGAGATGTAAGAGCCGTGGAGAACCACACTTGTGTCCAGGACCGTCCTGGGTAACGATTTATATCATAAGGTTAGATATTGGGTTACAGCTCTAATTATATGGGAATCTTGTTTACTGAGCATTTCTAATTATAGAAAGCCTTTGGATAATATTAAGCATTAGAGTCTCATTTCTACTGGGTACCGTGTGGGCTCAGCCCAGCCCTGTGGAGACAGCATGGGAGATTGGCCGAGCCATCTCCCATTATGGCGTCTTGTGGGTGGCAGGGCCGGTGTCTCTGGCTGCCTAAGCCAGTGGCCTGAGCCGAGCAGCCTGAGCCGAGCAGCCGCGAGAACATGCCGCCACTTGTGGCCTCAGGCCTAGCCTAGTTGGGAAAATAGGGGGCCTTGTAACTACAAGCCAGATTGGGTACGCCGTCTAAATCTTACCAGTAACAAGGACCCCCTGAGATGTCTCCACTGCTGTTTTCTAGATTTAGGAAGGTGTCTCTGGGGCCCCTGAAACCTTAGTTGTAGGGCTAAGAGCACCTTCTGCTCCTCCCAGAGCTTCTGGTGGGAGGGAAAGGACATATTTGCCAGGACCAGGGTCTATGAGAACTCAAATGTCCAAGAAGGCACTGTCCAATGCCCCAGTGAAGGCTGGCCATGATGATTCCTGTCCCACTGAGTAGCTTTTGGAATCTGGGGATCTAGATGTCCCACCCTCAGTGTAGAGGCCTAGTGTCTAGCAAGCTTCCTTCTATATTCATCTCTTGCCCTTGCCACCGCCCTTGAGTCTCCTGGAGCAGTGGACTTAACTCCTCCTTCCCAGGCTCTACAGTCTATTTCCTTGTGTAAAGTAGGACGGGTGATTTGATTTACGGAATTTTTCTTGGTGCTAAGAAGACACTGTGGGTAGTTGGGGGGAACATGGTTCCGAGTGGACCAGAATTCTATAGCTCCCGAAGGTATACCCTGAGGACAAGCCAATCTGTTTCCCTGGGAGCCCAGTTGGTTTAGCTTGAATGAGGAAGGCATTGGATACTAAAGGGTACCCCTCTTGTCCTGTGGTTCATCTAAAGGGCAGGGCTGACAGGGCTACTCTGATGAATGTAAAGGGGTATGGGGAGAGAGTCTGGGAGGAGGTGGGGCTCTCTGTGAGTCAGAGCTATCTAGGTTCATATCAGATGGGAATGGGCTGCCGAGAGCCCATCCGGTCTGGGCTCACTGAGATCAGAATCTAGATGGGCCTATGGCAAGAGTGTGCAGCAGGTTGGGGATGGGACTGGAAAGGCAGGCTGACCATACAGCACACAATGGAGACCCAAGCGGTGATAGGGGTTAGCCAAGTCTGGGGACTCTGGCTACACCCGCACTGTGTGAGAAAGACCGATCTTGGGGTGGGAGTGGGTTCCTGGTGTTGCAAACAGAATCTCAACAGATTTCCCTCCCTAAGTGATTCCATAGTCATGATCCCAAACACCCCACTATTCTTGTCCCCAGGGAGATCTCTGGAGGAATTTATTGGCGCTCAGGAAAACTGTCATGAGATCATGCCAAAACTACGAGGCATCTCTCCCCATCACCCATCAGCCTGAAGAAGGCAGCTTGTGTCTGTAGCTAACCTGGCAGCATCTCCCAAGTCATGTCCATCCTCAAGGGGACTTGCCTGGAATCCTTTTGTATTTACACACGGGGAGCTGAGGTTCTTGCTCTGGGTGGGAGATCTTTTTACTTAGAGGCTCCCCTGTTCTCCTCACCATGGGGCCTCCTTACCCTGGTGGAGAATCTGGGTACAGCTCCCGGAGCACGGTGACATCCACATCCCCCTCAGAGCTGATGTCCAAGGGCGGAGGCCAGTCCTCAGCAGGACTACAGGCATAGGGCATCCTGTGACTGGAGTGGTTGTGTGTGTGTCCTCCCGATGCTGCAGAGAACAGAAGCACAGGCAGTGCTAGGGTCTTCCCGCATAATAGCCGTCTATCCAAGGTCTATTCCCACATGACCATCCCCTTACCGGACTCAGCTGTTTCTATCTCAAACCCCACCACCAGAATGTGAGCCCTGTGGAGTTCTGGGAGTGGGTCGCAGAGAGGAGACAAGGCTGAGCCTATCCTGAGGAGCTTCCAGGGTAGATGACAGTTTAGCTCAGGACAGTGACAGCACTAGGTGGTACCTGCTAAGCTTTGATAAGTTAGCTTGGCCACACCCTCTTCCCTCCTCTTCCCTCCCCTTGAGGATGGACATGACTCGGGAAATGTCACTAGGATGTTAGCACAGGACTGCAAGAGAAGAGACAGATGTGCTCGGCACACATGTGACTGCAGAGACTAATCCCCAGTCCCCATACAAACATCTAACTTTTGACCTAACAGCAATGGGAGAATCTGGATGAGAACCATATCCATAGGTCCAATTCTGGGGTTATTTACAGGAGTCAAGAAAACTCTCAGAGGAGAATATTATAGATATTTCTATTCATTATTGGTGGCTCTGCTTGTCTGGCAGGTCATGATCTTTATTTTATCCCCCATATTGCCTGTGTCTTAAAGGTTTTTCTATAATGAATACATATTACATTTCTACTAGAAAAAATAAACCCAATAACAGGTTGTGAGAAAGGAGATGAGGTTTATTCCTCTTCAGGTGTCAGCTGAAGAATGGGAGCTCGCAAAGATGTGAGAGAGGAGAACCAGGGGAGATGAGACCAACAATAGAAACTAGCTCGAGCCACGGGGCACTGGAGCTGGGGTCCTGTGCTGGCGGCACTGCCCAGAAGGACCTCTGGGCTCACACAGGGTGGGATCCTGAGTGGAAGCTGGAGCTTGTTGCTTTCCACATCTCCCTGCCCCTGACCTGGGGACTACAGAACTCATCCTGGTTCCATGTGAGACATACCACAAAGACTCGTGAAGGTCAGTCCTTCCATAGCCTCTGACAAACCTCCTCTGGGCTGCAGGTGGGGTGGACCACACACAGGTCCTGCTCTCATGGATGTCGTCCCTGTGACTGAGTTGTGAGGGTGTGGGTATGAGGGCAAGGAAGAAGCGGGGGTTGGGGGGGGATCCGGGTTTACTTTCCTGATAGGGATAAGGAGGGCTGGGGATACCTCCCAAAGGAAGTAAACAGCCTTTGAGCCTGGCCTGGGCAGCTTCAGAACAGTGGCTGGGCGCTGGAAGAATGAGATGCATGGGGGTGGGGTGGTGAGGGGTGGGGCAGTAGGTGCTGAGTGGGAGGAGCAGGGAGGCAGAAAGGATGTACTGGGTCCTCCAGGATCAGGGACAGTTAAGGCAGTACCTGGGCTCCTCATGGAAACATGGGTCTGGGCTGTATACACCCTTCACTTGTCTGCTAGGGAGAGCTTAGCCCCTGTGGGCACTTGGGGCCTGGGCTGGCTGAGCTTCCTTCTCTGTCCGTGCAAACATGCTGACTTTTCTTTCTGGTCCTAGCTGGCTCAGAGGGCATGTCACTAACAGACTGGCTGTTTTCCATTGTCACCACTCTCAGTCTTGTCTAAGATCTGGTCTCTTGCTTCTCTCTAGAGGAGCAACATCTAGCAACATTTAGCATCCAAGTGTCTGCTGCACCCAGCCCTAAGCCTATAGCTGGCCCTTTAGGGCAATGTAGGGGTCGATCTGAGTACAGCCAGGTCATCTACACAGGGCTCACATCTCTAATCTACCTCTTGGAAGAGGGTGACCCCGGGTCCATTGTTCAACTGCTCCAACCCAAAGTTTGGATCAGCGAATTGAGATGGGGTGCACAGTTGTTGGGAGGAATATTTCTGCATAATGAGATTATACAGAGGAAGTTACAGGAATCAGCAGGCGCTCTGCTCTTTCCCACCAGTCCTCTGTGCTAGCTTCAGGTGTGCCAGCCCAGCTGGCTCTTCCTGTTCCTCCAGCCTTGAATGAGGGAAGGCCCTGCAGATCCCACAAAACAACTTCAGCTACAGGGAAAGGCCTCCCAGGGTCCTGCACTTCACCGGGAAGTCTCCTTTTGTTTTCTCATGGGGCAGGTGGTCTCTAGTCTGGCTAGTGACTCTGCCCGCACTGTGCATGCTCCCATAGGCCTTGTTCCTGCCATGGAACATTGTCTCAGAACTGAACCCTTCTGCTTTATTGGTGATTCCCACCAGGAATGAGATGGAATCAGGTGGCCATGTTCTGAAAAAGTCTATGCATTCTGACCAGATGGACATTCCTGGGACTGGCCCTCCTTCCTTCCAAATAGCCACCAATGAGTGACAAGAAACCCTGCAATGAGTTTTTGTCTTTGTGGGCTCATATTTTCACCGCTCATTCATTCTGTCATCCATCCATCCATCCATCCATCCATCCATCCATCCATCCATCCAATCCCATTCACTCTCTCTACTGGTCTACTTCACCCACCAATCCCTCTCTTCATCCATTCATTCTCCCACCCATCCATCCTTCTACTCATTCATTTCTCCTCTTATCCATATCTCCACTTACCCACTCACCCCTTTCTCATCATCTACTCATCTACATACTTATGCTTTGATGTAGTCACTCATCTGCCTATCTACCCATTTATCTATCACCCACCGCTCACCCAGCCTTCTGTCTTTCTACTAATCCATTCTTTATTCATATCTCTACTCACTCATCTGTTTGTCCATCCACATCTCTCTACCCATCCACCCACCTATCTTCCATTCATCCTATCATGCACCCACCTATCTACCTACCTACTCACAAATTCACCTATCTCTCTATCCATGTCACCATGCATCCATGAATTCATAAATGCATCCATGTACCTATCCATCCATCCATCCATCCATCCATCCATCCATCCATCCATCCATGTATCCATCCATGTATCCATCCATCCATCCAGATGCCATCTGGACCAGTATCAGCACAGCATAACCCAATAGTGGCAGGGGCTGAGGAATATGACACACTTTCCATCTGACTTTCAGCCTTTATAGGTCCATCTCTTGGTAGACCATAGTTCTCTTCATGCTGTGGGACATAATAGGAGACATCTGTGTGCTCTTCCTATAGACCAGGATACTTCCCTGACCCCATAGCAGAGATTCTACCCCCTGAACACCTCCTTAAGTCAGTCACAGTGGTAGAAGTAGCATGACTCAGAGCTTACTGTGGTCCTGCTCGTATTCTCGGTGTCGGCGTCGGCGGTGGCGGTGATGGTGATGGTGGCGGCGATGGCGATGGTGGTGTCGCTGGATCCGGGCCTGCCTGTCCCTTCTGATGCTTCCCACAATGATAGTGATGCAGGAGAGAGTGATGACCACACCTATGACAGCGCTCGCCACCAGCACTGGAGACACCAGCAGGTGGCTGTGCTCAGAGCTCTCAGAGAACGTGGTGGGGTAGAAGTAGCTGGTACGGTTGTATCGTGCTACTGTAGACAGAGAGAAAGGACACTCAGCTGGAGCCCAGGCCAGCCACAAACCTTATTCTCTCATCCCTGCTGTCCTGGGAGTTATTTATTTCTGAATAAATGGAGGAGAGTCAAGGTCAGGCATTTCATCCTGGTTGTTCCTGCTATGGGAGAGAGAAGCAAGATTTCACTCAACTGCTCAGAGGGGTTTCTGTTGGTTGTTATCCTGAAGTAGGTTATCCTACTTCATTTCCTCTGGCCCCTCTGCTTCAGTTATTCATTTAACCCACAGATAGAAAAACTCAGGTAGGGTAATTAGACCTGCTCAAGGCAGAACTGAGGCTCAAACTGAAGAATCTCAGTACTAGACCAGGAGTCTCTTCCACAAAGACATTAGGCTGAAATGTCTTTACCAAAGTCTTGAGAAGGGGAAGGGTGTATGCAGAAGGCCAGAGTATAAGGACTTGGGGCAAGGGTGTCATGGAGGGGTCAAAATTAGCCAGAGTAACCACAGGTACCTGCCACAGGGATAGCTGTCATCTCAGTAGTGAGTACCAATGAAGTCCTCCAGCTCACTGAGGGTGGTGGTCCAGGTATCCCCTCGTCACAGGCAAAGTGAATGGGGCTCAATGTTGGAAGAGTTCATCCCACAACCAGCCAGTTACCCTTTGGTAGAACTAAGCCAGAAACGTGGCTCTCAAATCCAGTGGTTCCTTTGTAGCATCCCTGCCCCTTGGTGGGGGCCTTTCTTGAGATGTGTTCCCAACCTCTGGACAACAGTGGAACATAGATTCTTGGACTTATTGGACATCAGGGCATGGCAATCATGGGAAGGGGTAAGTTAGGTCATGACTGGGTCATGTTCTGAGAGGGGTTTCCATTTGTCTGCCCACAGCTCGTGGTAGGTGCACCTGTTGCTTAAGACTCTGACGTTTCCAGGCCTTGCCTTTGATAACGCTTTGTGTCTTCAAGTCCAGCAAGGTATATCATGTCCAGGCTGGGTGTATCAAAGGTACCTAATGTGTATAAGGTATGAGTGGCTCCTGACTTGAGATCAGATGGGAGAATGCTAGGGAGGGGTTGATTTGCTTTGGAGCATTCAGGTTTCTGTCTTGGGTGGTAATCAAGTGGAGTTTGAATGGTAATCTGCCTGGGTAATTGAAGAAAGGCTTTTTATTCTGTGTGAGGGTCTCTACATCCTCCTTTCAATGGTGGTTGCTTTTCTCTTCAAGTCCCTTCCCAGCGCTAACCTCAAAAACTCCACCCACTTATCCTAAAAGCCCCAGCACACTCAGTCCCAGCAAGGACAGGTGGATAAAGAAAGAGTTAGGGAGCTAAGCTGGGACTTGAACACGCAGCATGTTGGCTCATGTTGGGGGCTTTTGTAGTTCATTGGTCATCATCAGAAGTGGGTGGGTCACTGTTATCCCTGCCTGATCCCCTGGTGGGATGCATACTCCATGGTCCTAGTTAGGCCTGCATGCCTCTCTTTAGTGCGCCCCCTCCCTCCCTCCCTTTCTCTCTCTCTCTCTTTCTGTATGCATGTTTGCATGTGGACACATGTGTGCATGCATTTGGAAACCTGAGGATGTCCAGAATCATCCTCTATCATTCTTCCACTGCATTCACTGAAGCAGGGTCTCTTAATCAAACCCAGAGATCACCAATAGCGCTAGTTTCAGTCATCAGCTGACTGGAGATTTTCTAACTTCTGAGGCTGGGATTACATGGTCCTGCAGCCCACTCAGAATCTATCTGGGTTCTGAGCATCTGAAGTCCAGTCTCCAAGCTTGGGTGCAAATGCTTCAACCACTGAGCCATCTCTCCAGGCCACATGCACATTTCTTGATGCTCTGACAGGAGAATGTCGGTGAAAATTGATTCTTGGGATTCTAGGAGGGCAAATACAGGCCCTGTTTTCAGAGGCCCTACCATATGTAGACTTAGTGCTAAGATCTCAGTTCTTTTTTGGAGTCATGGTCATCCAAATCTTCCCATTTAGTTTGAAGACACTATGACTAATAGCAGTTAGATAACTCAAGTGCTGTTAGATACCTGAGGCAGGCTCTCTCTGTGCTGCGGTCCCCTCACTAAACAAGTCAGGAGGAGATGGATAAGAAGCTGGCAGGGGCATTCAAACAACGGGGAAGGGGAGCTAGAACTGAGCTATGCAAGAATGTGAGTAACTTAAGTCTCACTGGGGTTAATATGCATAAATGTTAATTTACACTAAATGTTACCTCAGTAGCTGTGGTAAGATGTATGTGGCAAGTCCTAGAAACATTACTGAATATGGTGGGAAATCCTTTAACGGAATTTCTATATGCTATAAAGTATTCAGTTATAGCAGAAAGGAGAAATGGAAGATGTGAGACACACACACAAAGGTGAAACGGCATGTGTAAGCTCAGCTGTATCAACTGTCATGCTGAATGTGATCTGTCAACCAACCTGACCAAGAGGCAGAGTCCCTCAGGCTGGGCAACTATCTGTAGGCAACTCACTTGGGAACCAGAATTAAGAGTGAAGTAATGGAAAAATATATACTATAGAAACATTTATAAGATGGTTGGAGTGGCTGTAATAACTAAGAAAAAAGAAACTTTAAAACAGAAAGTCATTAGAAATCAAAGGGACATCTTATAATAAAGGATTAATCTTTCAGGAAGCCCCCAAAACTAAAAACATATTCACTTAACAACAGAGTTCCAAAATACATTAAGCAGAGGCTAAAGAACAGAGGAAACACAGTACAACAGCTGGAACTTCAATATTCCATTTTCTATAAAATTGGGTAGAAGCCAGGTGTAGTGGCATATACCTATAATCCCAGCAAAGGAGAATCATAAGTCCAGGGCCAGCCTGAGTTACATAGTGAGAACCTGTCACAAGGCAAGTAATGAGCTAACCAAATGAAAAAATGAACAACTAAGCAGAATTAAAAAAGAATACAAGACTTGAACAGAATTGTAAACAAATTAGACCTAACATCCGCCCACAACACTCCACCTGACAGAACACGCATTCTTCTCCAGCGCAGTGGAAAGCTTTCCAGAATGGGCCACATGCCAAGATGTAAGATGAACTACAATTTATTTTAATGGATCAAAACTGTACCAAAGTATGTTCTCTGATTACAAGGAAGATTAGAAGGATTAACACCAAGAAATTTGTGAAAATAATAAATATATAGAAATTACACAACACACCAATAAGGAAATAACAAATCAAGAGAGAAAGGCATAGGGGAAATCCAAACACACATTAAGATGGTTTGAGCGAACCCCTATGAAATGATGCTATTGTAGTGGCTAAGGGATATTTACAGCATCAAGTGCCTGTATACTTTTAAAAATGATCTCACGTCAACAAATAGCTTCTTCCTTAGAATACTGGGAAGAGAAGGGAAAACTGGAGTTTGTGTAAGAAGAAGGAAGGAAGGAAGGAAGGAAGGAAGGAAGGAAGGAAGGAAGGAA